AGCAATTTGAATGCAGTTAGGCCTATATTCGGGGGCCAGTCGATGTACAGGTCGAGTGTTTTATCCTCCTGGACGAACCCGGAGCAAATTACCCGACCCCAGTAAGAGGAAGCTTTTATAGCCCAGAGGTGACGGATACGAGAGTTGACCATCGGCCCGTGCGCGTGGCAAACATTGCCACGCAACCCTAGCTACCCTTCAAAAAAGCAGAATCATGTCGAGTGCAGAACACACATCACAAATTACGGCAGCCTCCAATTAATCTGGGACGGTAGCAAACCTTCATTAATTCAGACTTAACGTGTCGAGATTAGCTCAGACCAAAGTCAGTTTAGATAACAGGTTCAGAGCGCTTCTCAACACATTAAGTCTTGTTTAACCTACAGTTAGATCATAACCAAAAAAACCATTTTAATTAGTAGTTAGAGAGTTAACTTGTAAACCTAATTCGTAATTAGGCAGAGAAAAGAAATAGTGTGAGGTCGAGGAGGCGCAGACGCCACGTTGACCCACGAGTAAAAAGTACTCCGAAGGACTTTTTACTGGAGGGTCATACGTGTCAGACGTGGTGACTGCGCCTCTTCAATCCCGTGCTCTTTTTTCTTCTCTGACCAGCTCAACCTGTTAGGAATCAAAGAATGCAGCTGCGATCCATAATCTTCAGGTACTTTTGCAACCTTTTTTTTCTTATTTATTCGTTTCCTGATATTTTGTCGTCTGAAATCTAAAGTAGGAAGCTCTTGCTTGATCTGGGCTGGATCGCACTCTCCATTCTTTATTCTTTGCTTAGAATCTCCGATCGTTACTTCTGATTGCGAGTTAAGGGTACTTTGCTACCGTCCCTGAGGTGATTATGATGGAAAAAGTGATAGACTGCATAGTTGGTAAGTGAGAGTGTGATTAGCAACTAACTAATAAGAAGTACAACTGCAAGGATATTCATTCTGGGGAGACAGTATACATTTTGTGGAGGCTGGGCTGCACTTGTGATGTCGGTGATCTGCTCTCGACGCGGTTTTCGGTTTCTGGCAAAGGGTGGCACCGTTATATTTTGAATTCAGGTATATTTTGGTTAAGTATAATAAATCATTATTGTTTGGATAAATTATTTCAGGATCACATTTTCTAAGGAGAACAAACTCTACTTACTATTCCTATTGGTAGGCGTGTCGGTAATCATCGGTCTCACATGCTGTTACGCTAAACTAATAGAGAAACCTGGACAGACGGGGCGGTGAATTCTCCATTTTTTCCATGTTTCCCAATTTGAGGTGCGAAATTGCAAATATAAGTGATTGTTATTACTATATATCCTACTATATATAATGCGCTATGTCTGTCTGTCCGTCTGTCACGAAATTCGGTATCAAGCGAACAACAACCTATAGGGTCCAGGTCAAGTTTGGGATGGGTATACCATATCCCTAGAAGTAAAAAACACACATCAGCCAAGCGGAGCCCCGCCCACAGTGGGCGTGGCGTGCATCGGTTGATTCCAAATACAGTCAAAAACAGCCTCGAGACTGGAACAAAAAGTGGTTATAAATGTGCGTCGGTAAGCCAGATTTGGGCGATGGTATAGACTTCTCGCGATTGGGCCGATGGTAAAAGGGCAGTCGGCGCGACCAGTCGGCGCGATTGACAGACTCCATAAGGCAATCGCCTGTAATCGCGCGATGGGCGGCGGCATCTCGTCCCGTTGGTAGGCAGGGAGGCGATAATAGCTGGCGCGCCCCGTCGAAGTTCGATAAACGTTGACTGGGAAGCTGCGCGCCCAGCCACAACGGGAGTGATCGCGCCCATCGCGCGATTGGAGCGATTGGTCATGATGGGAGTCATGTCAATCGCGCGATCGTCGCGCGAATCGCGCGATGGTCGCGCGATTGGCATTTGACCGATCGCTCCAATCGCAGAGTCTGACATCGGCCATTGCATTGGGGAGACCCACCCTCGGTGGGCGGGGCGTTCTCTGGAAAAGCGGTGCTCAATAAAAATATCAATAACTAGGTTAGGAGGAAGCCTACAGAGCAGAAAAGAAATTAGTGCAGGGCAGCGATGTCTAAGGTATTTCCAGCACACATGATGTGAACGGAGGTCCGCCCACAATGGGCGGAGCGTGTCCTGAAGTAGACGACGTTTTCTACAAGAGCTCATAAATCGGCTCTGAGATGACTTGGAAACCTGAAAACAGTGGATACAGGTTAGGAGAAGAGGAGAAGCTAAATGTCAAGGCTGGGCGTAGCTTACACCAAAGTGGGCGGAGTTTGCAACCAGCCTCATAACTCGGTTCCTATGAGTCCCGGGGTGTGGGGAAAAGCGTATAAGTGTTGGCAGAGGGAAGGGGGTCAAGTGCTGTGGGCAGGTGGAGCATGCATTAAAGTGGGCGGAGTTTGCCACGGTACTTCATAACTCGGATCCAATAAGTTCCGGAGATGGGAAAATAGTAGAATGAGGTTGGGGAAGAGATGATAGTCATTTGGTATCGGTGAGCGAGGCATGTAACGAAGTGGGCGGGGTTTACCACAACGATACGTTGCTCGATTTCGTCCCCTACAAGACCTCATAATTCGGCTCCGAGATGACTTAGAGACCTGAAAAAATACGCCAGAGGTGAAAGTAGGAGTAGAGGTTGAATGTGAACGCTGGGCGTGGCACACCCGGATGTGGGCGGAGTTTGCCACCGCTCTCATAACTCGGTTCCTAGAAGTTCCGGCGACCGGGGAAAATGTGCATAAGTATTGAGGTATGGAGTAGGGTTGAATGCCATTGTTGGGCTAACCATGCACCAAAGTGGGCGGGGTCTGCCTCAGAAATTCGTGACTCATAACGCCATTTACAAGACCTCATAATTCGGCTCCGAGATGACTTAGAGACCTGAAAAAATACGCCAGAGGTGAAAGTAGGAGTAGAGGTTGAATGTGAACGCTGGGCGTGGCACACCCGGATGTGGGCGGAGTTTGCGGCGTAAGTAAGATGTACCGAGCAGAAAGCTAAAATCAAGACAAAAATACTGATGGGCCCGATTTTACCGCTGCAGCCCCGTCTCATGCACGCGAATGCGTGCGCAGCCAAACTGGTAATAATAAAATAAGCATACATCAAGACAACGTTCATGATTAATCGGCCGGAGAAATTCTAGTCTGTGGATTTTCAGCCGCTGTCGAAGAAGAAGATCGCAAAGGCGGCTGAGAGTTATCGTGCTCAGGAGAGAACTATCGAACTTGGCCACAAAGGTCTTGACAATCTCGAGCAGATTCTGTTGAAAAATTCTGACGTAAGTTGATCCATAGGCAATCTGGATGTATCTTTGAGAAGCCCCTAATTTCCTGACATCCGGCAAAAAGTTTCATAATCAGCTCATAGCATTGGTATTTTCTGAGTATCTGGGTCTGTCTATAGCTGATCTCCGATTGGATTTTCGCCTGATGAGCCGGGCCAGGTCTTTCGACACAGTGGTCGGAACTTCGGTTATTGCAGAGTTGCTTGCCTTTAGTCAAGCGTTTCCATTCCGCGACGTTGCCTTTATTGTGCGTTTCGATTCACCGCGAAATACAAAGAGGTGCGATTAAGGGGGTACATGTGGGGGCTGAGAAGGCGAAGTCAAGTAGCCCCTCATTTTGGTTTTGTTCTGTTGTGGTGTCAGCTGTTTTCATTGGCGTCGACAATGTGAATGTTATGACAAGAGTGCTCAGTTTAGGGCAGAATGCATACCCTTTTCCGAATATAAAACCCGGCCCCATTGTTTTAGAGGTATCTCCTCATTTTTCATCCAGCTTGAATCCGGGTGTGCATTCAGATTCTATGCTGGATAGTGAGGACGTTGCCAAGAAACACTGGGGAGGGATTCGGGGCAGGGCCAACTGTCCGTTGCGCCGATTCAGAATTCCCTCCCCTCAAACGGGTCCCCACACATACCCTACTCCCTCTTGCCTTGTAGGGGTCCACTCCATATGAGCCGTCCCCTTCATCACTATCCCTGTGTTTGTAGAACTGATTCTAAAACCAGGAGACGTATCCCAACTCTGCCCCAAATTGCCCCAAATTTCCTACAAATTTTGAACAGGGGCGGGGGGTTGGAAAGGATGGACAATCTGGTAGATGTAAGCGTTGAAGAAGCAGATGCTCTAATTACGTCCATTCTGTCCATTTTTCGTTGAACTTATGAAAAAATCTCTTCTTACCTCATTTTCACTACGACACGTCCCTCAACTTCCGCCACCACAATTTTCTCCGAAGGCGTCGAGTGCTAACCTCCCCCCCCCACCTATCATGAACACAGTACACCGAAACCGGAAACAACTCCCATCGCAATTCCGAGAACGCCTCTCTCCGTTGATCTTTGCTCACAGACGAATGACCCAGGTCGGGTGGTTCGAGCCTGGGTAAGTTTTTTACCTTAGCATTCTTGTAATTAGTGCTTCACTTCAGCTCCTTTGTTCTTTTTACTTCACTTTGTTTTTTGCCTTTTTTTTCCAAATCTCTTGCACCCATCTCTACATTTCAGCCATTACCAAATCGTACGTTTGTAGACGATGGAGCCGCTGAAATGTGCGAATCTGGACGAGCTCAGTGTGTTCAACCATTTGCGAAAATTCGTCCACTGATCGTGGTATGTGACCATTTTATTGGAGAGTGGGCTTGCGATAATAACAAGAAGCTCACGAGGGCCTAAAGCGAGAGACTTCCCAAACAGAGTGAGTACGATAATGTTGGTTTGCACTGAGGAAGAATGTGCAGTGGAAGCAGTAGTGAGACGGCAAATCAAGTGTGTAGCTCACAAGAATGCTGGGTTGTGAACAAAGTTTTTCGCCCCAGGCGGGACTCGAACCCGCACCTCTCGCTTTCCGGGCAAGTGCGCTACCAGTTACGCTACCGGGGCACCATTTCATTCCAACTCAGCTTTTCATAGTATAACAATGAAAAAAAGGCGTGTAGCATTTTTGCAGCGAAAGGTGCTCCAGAAACAACGCAGTGAGCTTCCAAGTCCAATACCGGCCACCCACTCCGAAAGCGTCCCTCCACGCACGTAGTTAGTCATATGTCGCCATCACTTAGTATATGTCGCCATCATCAAGGTTCGGTTTCCATCTTGAGAAGCTCAAACGGCCGTATTTCGTAATCCCGTAGTCTCTGATTTCTTAGGCACCCGCTGGCATTGTAATCTTGAACTCGTTTAAACTTACTGGATAATGAGGGTCACAGGGCGCTATCGCAATATACGGGGGTATTGTAATGGCAATGCATCTTTCGCGTAAAACACGTCTTTTTTGTTAAAAACGGGACTAAGCCTTAGGCAGGGGCAGAGAGACTCCTTAGTGCGTAGCCATTTTCATTTCTCACGGAGCTCCTGTCCCTCCTAGGCTTAGTCCTGGAGGACGGCGGATTGCGGTGGGTTCCAGTTATCGAGTTTTCGACGGTTTTCACTTCAAAAAAGACAAACAGGGACTCAAATAAGACAAACAGGGACAAGTGTTACGGTAACTGGGAAGGGGCAGTTGGCGGTATCGCGCTCCATTCCTTGAACCTTTGCAATCTTTTAACGAGATTGTGATAGCAGTGGTGCGAAACGAAGAATCCGCGATCCAGGAAGTGCCCAGTTCAGGGATGGGATGGAGCGTGGGACGGGTCGCTTGATATTGTGCAGAAAGCAGGAGTGTGCGGAATTAACATACCTCATTAATTATAAGAGGTTGAAGACGAGCAGGGCGCCACACCGCCTTCACCTACGGTAGCACCGAAAAGCGCTGTAACACCGAGGCCAATTTCAGACATCACCAGCTCATCACCTGATGTCATGTATCATTCAAAAAAGCATGTCTACAGTGATGTCAGCCATATTCTGTTTTCTCGTCCGCGAAAAGGAGTTTGTAGATGCTGGACGAAGTATTCTAAGGGAATATCCCGATATAAGGTGAGCATTATATTTTACACTCAAAGGAAACAGTCGCACTGGCTGGAAGTCAGACAAGAGCTCCTCACGTCGTCGGTGGAAGGACCCTGTCATTGGTAGAATGGCTTGGAGGAGTGACCGTTGGACCGCTCCTCTATGCCTTTCCACCAATGATAATGCTCTTTCATCCATGACTTGAAGAGCTCTTGCCCGCCCCTCTGCCAGCGCGACTCATAATTCGAAAAAAGGAACATATTTGACCATGGTGCGGACTACATTACTGCAAAGTGTAACCAACATCTCACTGCCTCTTCCCATCAAAAATCGATTCCATCAATGATTCTATAAATTCTGATACTAGCTCTTCGGATCAGGGTGAATATTGGTTGAGGATTTCTCAACGGCATGTCGAGGATTTTGGCCTGATCCCTTACGTTCTCGCGCGCAGATATGGTATGGTTACTACCTCATATGAGGGTAGTAAACGCAGGCCCTCCTTCACTACCCTCACCGTCTTCAGAATATGACGTCATCTGTCACCGTCGTCGAGCTCAGGGAGGCCTACAGTAACTGCTTCAGCCTGAAGCTCTTACATAATTTCTTGGATCGATTCAACGTGGGATAGTTTCCTAGGGACATTAGCTCTAACTATGCAAACCCCTCGGAACGCGCCATTCAGAACCCGTCGTAACGGTACACAATCAGTCGAGAACCCCATTGAGCTCGACAAGAGCACCATGTTTCCGGATGTCTCATAACTTTTCTGATGACGTCCACGTAGAGGGCCACTATAAAGACTTTCTTATGGAATGAAATGCGCTTTTCAATTTTAAGTCGGGAGTACACTCTTTGAGCCAGAGTAACTTTTGATTAAATCCATTTGAGTCTGGCCACAAAATGTCTTTTTTATCCCTTGACAGGGTCTTACTTAGTTTTTTAGTTGGTCGTGAGCGGGGATAGTGGTAGACGGTTAGGAAAATAAAATGGTTTCGTTAGACGTATAGTCGCGCTCGACTCCACTTTTGGAGAAGAGGTCATGTAGGATAGGTGGTGGTAAAGGAGCTTTGTGTCACGTAGTACAGGACACCAGCTGGAACACCGAAACCATCTTACTTGTGGGTGAGGGAAGTTGACGTCGGTGGGGAGGGTAAATTGCTGCGGGCAGCGGGAGGGTATGTCGGTCAAATTTCGCATAAACCAGCACGCCAGTCTTATTTTGCCTGCTAACCGCCTTACGCGGGGACCTGATGGCGCGGAAATGCCATGCTTGCCGCCAGCAGAGTCAACCCTGCGTTGCGCAGTTTCAACGGCCACGTTGCGCAGTTTCGCCCGATTAGACACGTTCTCTCGCGCGAACATTCACACTCGCATGCTCGAGCCGTCTGTGTCTCCGCCCATACAGCGTGCGTTGAGGATCTCTCGACGTGCCGTTGCGAACTGCGCAACGCAGGGTTGACTCTGGTTACCTCGATTTAGGTTGTGGCTGGTGGCGACACACAAATGGTATGCAGAATAGTAGTTGCAGTACTCTTAGGGTCAGCTTAGGGCGTAACGTGTGTTAATTTAGGTTTTACCGACACTGTATACGCTTACCGACTCACCTCGAGTTTTGATAAATATGCAAATACATAAGCAGACTAATAGAATTAATAAAAATAAATCAACAACCAAAGTGACATGAAATTCCAGAGAGCTTGAAAAACCTGTCCAACTCCTCCTTTTAGGCTTTGCGAAGGAAAGAACGAATTCAAGAGTGTGATGGACATGCAAGAAGGATTGTCTTTACAGCGTGGACATCTTGACGAGTGGCACTTCAGTATGGTCACTCGAGAGCCTGTCGATCGGTTTTTGTCAGGTTTCATTGACCGATGTATACGGTAATTTTGAGCTATAAGTACACCTCAAATTCGGGAGATAAAGCTGTTTGTAGTTCTCTTCACCACGCTTCAACGCTTACTTCGAAATGTTGGAGGTGTTCGAATGGGTATTGCTCCCTAGGGAAGAGATGCGGGGCTAGTCGATGAAAAGTCGGGGCTCCTCCCATCTATAAGTTGAAGGCAAGATACGTGCGCATAGTTGGGAAAGGGAATTGTCTGAAGTAGTATTCGATTCTACAAAGTGTGCAAGTGCGAAGCGATGTCCAGAGCAAACGTGCTACTCTATTCGCTCTTCTTGTACACTACTTTACAGTAATTTTCCGTGCTGACCTTTCACTTGGCTCTCCTTTAGCTGTGAACTATTCAGCGCAACCTACATATGTCCAGTCAGCACCATGCTTTCTTTTTTGAATTATCAAATTGGCTTTTTTAGGGTTGGAGATTCGTGCTTCGGATGTGGCAGCAATATGACTTGTTTCCTCGAGGAGGAGTACAAAAGGTTTTCGGTTTACATCGCGGCTAGGGAGAATATCCGTTCCACTGATCTTTCCAGGGCTGGCGAGTATGCATTTGCCGATAAAAACGGCCTCACTAGACCAAGATTGACCAATGAGGATATTCACGTTTTTCCACAAAACTGGTAAGTTTGAACCTATGAAGGAATACAAATGCAAGGGTGGGTAAGTTTTTGAGACAATCGTGCTATTGGGGAATGTAAGATTAGATGAAGTTTTCAGTCATGAAACATGGAATAGGAATCACCTAACCCCTTGAAATGCAGTTTCTTCGTCCCTTGCCATTATTACAAACTTATCCTATCATGCTTATGTTAGCGCCTTCCTCACCGTTCCTCTGTGTCTTGGAACGTGATATTCTTTCTGATTGAACCAGATTATCACTCCCTGATAGAAATTCAGGCAGCTGATTAATAAAGAAGTCAAATTAAATTCAAAAGGACAACCTTTACATGGTACAACCTTTGTACTGTGAGGCTTAAATCACTGCGGAGATCTTAAGATGACGCTTGCTGGCTTACTGATGTCTAGCACTCTGGATCTTATCAGTCACCTAGCCAACTTATGGACATGGATGGTTAAGAACAAGGTCCACACAGAAATCGCCGCTCCAACTGCCGCGCGCGACGATTCTCGCCGCGTGAGCGGCGTGACCTCATTAGCCTGACGATTTGAATTGACCGTCTCCCCGTTCGTGCATAGCCAAGCAAACCGCGTAGCGGCATAGTTTTAGGGAAAGGAGCAGATGCCCTCTTCAAGAAGAGCCGCTTTGTTTGTGTGGGGACACTTCCGCGGTACCAAAAAAGAACCCCGTGATTTTCGGCACTGCAGCGAGTGGGGATAATTTGCTGTCGACAACCGGGCGTTCGAGCTATCTCTTCCAGCGTGTACATGAGGCTATTGAAATAGGGGAGCGTGACCCATGCGTGTTAAGTTAGCGGATTCTTGTCAAGATATCTTTTCAATACATTTGGTAAGTAATTTTCAGACCTTGGTTCATGTACTGCCGTAAAATTACCACCTCTCACCTGCCTCGCCCTCTCCACCCAGGCTCATTGCGAGTGTAAAAATAGGAAGTGTTGGATGTGTAAGCGCTACGCTCTATCAAGGCGTGGGTCTTTCAGGGCAAGCCAAGCTTTTTCAAAACGGTTTCTTGCATATTGTAGGGATGCATAGGGAACACAAAACCATGTTTCATTTTCGCTGAACGGTTTTAGCAGTACCAAAAAAGAAGCATAAGGTACTGTTAATGGTTCGATCCCCGTGGCGACTAAATTTTGCATTTGGGTTGGCGCCTACGGAATTGGTGCCAAATCGCGCTAAATGTCAAAATCAAGTGTCATTTCATCGTCAAGATCATTTTGAAGCCAACAAGTGGCCGCCAACCTTGATTGCAAAATTTAGTCGCCGCGGGGGATTCGAACCATCGAGTATTCATTCACCACTTTTTGGTACTACTAAAACCGTTCAGCGAAAACGAAACATGGTTTTGTGGTCCATACATGCGTCCCTACAATATGCAAACCCCCCCCCTTGTAAGGGCTGAAGAGGAAGGAAGCGAGTCGGGGCCAAAAATTAACCGCAATGCTTCATCCTCATGAGCTATTGCACGTCATGGGTACATGCCAATGGTGTAGGGCAACAAAGTGAAGAGTAAGAAATCGGCGTTGGACTCATTTTGGGTAACGCCCGGCTGCGGTAAACTGGTAGTGATGCACGTATTAGTGTTTCTTTCCGGGAAGTGGCTATATTTCACTACCTCTTAAAAGTGCCACAGCTGGTTCATATAAGTATCGCTTGTTCCAATAAATCGAAAGATGTTAATGTGAACCAGACAGCTCTGTAAATCCAGACAACCTCTTTCTGCCTTGCTTCAACAATTCTAGCCCGCTTCATGGTCATCTTTATTACCTAGTAGTTCATGGACAGCAACTCATGCAAATAAACAAATAAATAAACAAATTGTGCGCCTCATGACGGAAAGCATGAACAAACTTGATCTCATGCAACTCATCTGTTGAGGTTCAACACTCATGGAAATGACTGTGCGTATTTCTAGGCGGTGCGACATGGATGACTTCTACGATAGATATCAGTTCATACGGTATTCAAACGATCCTAGTGGTTCGCTTTTGGAGGATTTGACACCGTTGCTGAGGTCACAGAATGTGGGTTTTATCACACATTACTAGCTAGGAGAATATTTCAAATTAAGAATTTATACACGAAATTGAGAAATTTTTATCCACTAGCGGTTCACTTTTCGTCCGGGCTTTCGTAATCCATTGTAATAGCCCACAAAAACTTAACTGCTTCTTTGAAAGTCTTGATTTGATGAGAAATCCACGGTGATTCCCCTTGATGGTAAAAGAGACTTTTTCATGATTTTCTAATTCCTCTATTTTGAAGGTGTCGGAATCTGCGATCGGCTACATTTCGGAATCACTCCGTTCCTGGACGTACTGCCCACAGTACTGTCAAGTCAGCAGCACGAACGTTTCTAGAAGATCGAATTCGTCAAAGCCCATATCTCATGGAATTGGTTGTTCGTTTATTCTACTACGACTACAAGCTGCTCAACTACACGTTGCCAGATCTGGACCGGCTTCCTGAACAGGAAATCCCTCAAACCACTTTATCTACGTAACAGTTCTTTTCATTCCTATTCTAGCTTGTTTTCTGTCTACTTACTATTGGTGGTAACCGCCTGACGAAAATAATCTCTATGAATTGTGAAGAGCTTTTCAAATTTTTATGCATCATTCGGGTGGTATTTGTTCTTAAGGTCTAGTATAAAGCCTTTCATTAATACAGAGTATGTTCGAATAAATTGATAAATGCTTAAATATTCGGTGCATACGGATCCCAGTTGGAGTGCGCCACATATGCGACTTATATTCAGAATATATACAGGGGGGGCCAAAAAAAGAGTCACTTTGCCCATGGCGCATATCATCAAACTTTTCGTCGCAAAGGATGCCGCTGTTATTGGGAGTTATACGGCGAATTATTCCTTAGATCAGGCCCACCTTCGCTGCTTCACCGTCTCCAGAATATGACGTCATCTGTCATCACCGTCGAGCTCAAGGAGGCCTATCGCTCCATTCTGAAGCTGCTACATAATTTCTTCAATCGGATAACTGGTGAATGGCTTCTTAGGGACACTAGCTCTGACTATGCAAAATGGCTTTTGACCAGCGTTTCAGAGACGTCGTAATCGTCTATGGTTTCTCGACGACCTCGTTGAGCTCGTACCATGTTTCCGTGGGAAAATCTTCTGATGTCGTCGGTGTAGAAGCCCTATGTAATTTTTTTGATAGAATAGAATGTGCTCTTCAATATGCAATTGAGCTCATTCGGTTTGGTTTGGCAAAGTGTAATTAATTCTGTTTTGAATGTGAGTGACTTCTTTTTTGCCCCCCCCATTTCAAATAGCGTAATTGAAAGGGATACAACGAGTAGTGGTGAGGAG